TTAGCCCAAATGCAATCATCTATTTACCGTTGCTTTGGGCTGAGATTTCCTAAAATAGCTTTAATAGCGAGACCAATTTATCAAAATGATGACGAAAACGAAGGGAAAATTTAAAGGTAGATCACTGTTTCAAAAGTTGCCAACACTTTCGAGAGTTTAGTTCTGCGGTCGATCTAGTGAACAAAAAAGAGGATATGAACCTTTCAACACCCCCTTGCGGATGACAAACGAGAAAAATATTCGTTCGTCATAATTAATTCTGGAAGAAATATATCATTAGCGCATCATTCAACTAAAATTCTGTTCAATTGGAATTCATTGATGCTTCGAATCTTATCATTCGATGATTCATCGCTGGATTAAATTTCTATCAAGCTTCGGATTATTGTAATAAAAGGACTTAGAGCCTTTGATCGACAATTAATCGAGCGATCGACAAAGGTCCAATTGCGAACGCCAAAATAACTATTTAGAGGCTAATTTATTCAAAAACTCAATCAAGCTTAAACGCCGATCGAATGGTTAGGATGTAAGAGATTTCGTGTAAGTATGTGAGCTCTGATTTCTTTCTAAAGTTAACCATCTTTGCGCGAAATCATGTCACAATTATTTCACATATTGCGTCCATTTTGGCGGCGTCTGAATGTGAAAGATTAGTCGATCAATACCAATTTAAAATCGTCCGAACTTCTTCGATGCTTCGATGATTTCCCACGAATACTGTTATTGCAATATTTGTTATCACAGAAGTGCCCTGTTCAGTCTCTGCACAAAAATCAGTAAATGGCTTTCTTGGTTATATCCAGTTTTATTAAAATAATGCTATTTTCTTTTACGTCGACAGATCAGGAGGAAAAAGCCAAGATGCAAAGTTACAGGAGCATCGAACAGTTAGAGGCCTTAGCGGGTGAGTTAAACACGATTTTAAAAAAAAATAATTCGATAATTTGAAATCTGTGTTATTGGAGAGATCGTAGAGAGTTCTAAACACATATGTAGTGAAATATTTTCGTAGTTTAAGGCTAAAATTTTCTGTTAGTTTCCGGCTTTAGAAATGAATGAAAGCGAGAAAAATCATGTTTAAACATGATTCGCAAGATGTAAATTAAAAACAACATGGGGTTGTATGCTTTGTTTCCAAAACTCTGAATATCTCGTCTGGAAAATGAATACCTTTTATTCGGTAAAGTTAAACGTAAAATCTCGCGCAGCTTAATTTGAAATTTGATAGAGATGATTTGTCAAATTATTTAACCGTGTTATTTATTTCGCGGTCAATGTCATCGTAGAGATGATTTCATCGTTACGTAAGCTTGAGTATATTTATGTTGTTGTTTATGAGATTTCGTGATTTTTTTATTCAATTCCACAGCATCTCCGAGCGGAATTACGATAAAGGACCATGAAACGGTAAATCTTATCTTTTATCTATATTCATATTTTTATAACTTTTTTTTTTTTTCACAACCTTGACATAATACTTGAGCTCTGATTTTAAATTAAACCTCCCCTTAAATTTTTTTTAATTTCAACATTAATTTCGGGTTATAACATATGGTTTTGGTAAACTGAAAATAGAATTAGTTCGGTTAGCTGGAAATGCACTTTTCTTGTTTTCTCGATTAAATTATTGAAATCGGGTCTTTGAATTGAAATTAGAACTAAATCACGTATTTTTTGAAGGTTTTTGTAAACAGTGTTTCTTTTACTGAGCTGTTTATAACTTATTCAAATCATCGATTTAAGTACGTAATTACAACATAGTTGACATGCCTTGTAGTCAAGAAGACAATTGCTTGTTTTTTCCGTTGTTTCGAGTGGGTGATTGCTTTTGAGTGTGATCAGTCGGGAACGTTCATGAATTATTGTTTGTGAGAAAGTAGAGCTTTTTGGATCAATGTCCAAATTGAGTCAATGTCAGTATCTGAGCAACTGCCGACCTACCCGTCCCCTGACCCAACATTATCACTAAGTTGTTATCAGTTGACTATCTTTGGGTTAGGGGAGGGGTATGTACGCAGACATGAGTCCAGTTTTTCTCTATAATGTTAATTGTTGAAGAAATAAGTTCTTATTTCGTTGATAACGTTTCACAGCTATGTGCCAACGATACAAATCTATTTTTTGGTACCCTTACGACTTTTTAGTTGTTTTTTCGAGGCAGATTGTCTTGGAATCGTGTTACGTAAGAAGATATTTAAATGTTGATCCAAAAAATGTGGAGTAACTTTGCAAATCAATCACCAGTGTAAACATGAGCCATGAATGATTTTTAACGCAACATTTCGATGCGACAACGGATGGCAGATTTACAGGGATTTGAAAAACTTACAACAAAGTTGTCTATGATTCTCTGCAGCAGAAATGTTGCATTAATATGTAAATTTGTCGTTAGAAAGTTGATCGAAATTTAGTAAGAGAAAATCTGGGCAAAACTCGGTACCAAGCCGCTCTCCTGTCGGGTCGAGCGAGTGGTTTCGATTAACATCAAACTGATGAACGTCAAATTTTAAACTACTTGCAGTTGATTCAAGAGCTGAAGAAGGAGAACTTTGATTTGAAGCTCCGACTGTATATGGAACAGAAAGAGAGAGAGGTGAGTGAGAGGAAATTATTTTCTGGCAGTGGAAGCTGGAAGCATAAAAGGGCTGACATGTCTGAGAGTTTACTTCTCTAAAAAATGGCAGACAAGAAAAAATGTAATCAGCGACAACAGACACTTAGACAGCTAAAAATAAATTGAAATAGTGAAAGGGAGCATGGCCACAATATCGACGAATCCGGTTATTTAATTTTTATCCAAGATCATATCTAATGTCGGACAGTTTTATCCTTTTTTTAAGTTTCAATATCGACTTCTTGCTATCCATTATCTTACATATAAAACAGGGAGGCCGTAAACGAAGTTTACACAAACATTTATAACATGCATTGCGGACCTATGTTTCATAGATAGACTGCAATGGTTGATTTTAATATGAATTGCGGGCCTATGTTCAGACAAACGACAGGGATAAATTTAATAAGTTATTGCAACCATTCTAATTTGTTTTGCCATTAATTTTTCAGAGGGTCACCGAAGAGTTTAAGCAAAAAATTACAGTTTTGGAAAGCGATCTGACAGAAGCTCTTGATGAATTAAGCGATGCCCTCGACCGAGAAAAAGATTTCGAGGCTGCTTTGGAAAGCTCACAAATGCGGGAGAAGGCATTGCTTGCTAAGCAACGTCGAATGGAGGAAACTTGCCGTGAACAAGAAAACGAGATTCAATTTCTTACTTTGACAAAGAAGGACAAAGATAAAGAGAAAGAGAAGCCACACGTAGAGTTACAGACGGCTGAGGTTGGAACCATGACCGATTTTCCATTTTACAGTGAAAGGGCGGTGGATGTTGGTAACGTCAATGAGAATGAAGCTTTTAGCGACGTTGATTTGAAAGATTCTGCCGAGAGCCCCAATCCGAGTCCAACCCAAACCGAGACACGACCTGAAGGCGTGGATCTGTTGAATACAGGGACGCTTTTGCGGAAGAAGGACATGATTATGAGAGAGGCGAAGCGCCGCAGAACAGCAAGATCTAAGAAAGGCCAACGAAGGAATGTCGCTGGCAAATACGACTCAGAGCCGGAACACGAAAGAGAACGAGCCCGAGCGGAGAGAAAGTCATTCTTCCATAAACTGTGTTGTTGTGTGAAGCAGCAAAGTGCTGAATATGAAGTGGACCCTTACGAAGACAGATCAAAAGTGCGCTACAGAAAGTAACAATTTAAATACTGCATAGCTAGTTTATCTCTGTCTTCACCGTCGTAAACGATCGGAATGACCGACGTCGCACGAAGTGTCAACGAACTGCCGAAGAACACTTTTCAACGATGCGAAATTTTAGCTGAAATGAATATAATTACAAGTTAGATTTATAGAGGTAACTGCTCTTCGTAGCAAATTGCAGCGCGATTTTTCGGTCCACTAATCTATTTTGAAGGAATTTTTACAAAATTTCAAGATGACCCATAACTTGTAAATACCATGTTTTTTTTAATTTTCGTGCTTCAGAGGGAAGAACAATTCATTACGTCACTTTGAATGATGTACTTCCAATGATCTGAGGCGATTTTAACTCCAAGAAAAAGAAGATTTTATAATGGACACAAAACTTAAAATTTTTCAAATAATGTTAAACGAGTTGCTTTTCGAATCATGTAAGCCTACTCAAATGTTCCCATATAAGTTCACGTGATGAGTGACTAACAAGTAACATCTCCTTACAATATTATTACAGCATCCAGCAGAAAGGTAATAAGAATTGATAAACGTATCAACCATGGTATGTCATTGTAATGCAATACCGAATTTTTGTTAACTACACAGTCCTCCATACTAATTTTTTCAGTCGAATACGGTGAATCGTTGATATAAATAATTCACAGCTTTTTTTCTATAAATATCGTTACAATAGTGTCTTCTTATGTCAAGAACTTCGCCGTAAGTTTAAATTCTCTTTTTAGCAATGTATTAGAGCAATTTTCAAGTAAGTGTCGAAAGTAATCCGGGATTGCGGTGGTTTTGCTTACTTTGCTCTGTGATTGGTCCAGAAAACTTGCGCCACTCTCCCAGCCAATCAAATGCAAATCACGACTTGGTCGCCGCGTTTTCCCGCGCTTTGGGCGGTTGTAATTATATTGGCTTTGTTTTCACGACACTCAATTGAAAAGCGCTCTCTACTTAAGATTTGAATAGGAAGGCATAATTCATACTGAAAAAAATTAATTTACAAAAATTTGATGAAATGGAAAGAAAGCTTATTGTTTCGGGAGAGAATGAATTGGTGCCTCAAGGTTCCAAATGAACAAATTATATTTGATGAGCATTTTGGGGTTAAGTTCGATTGCAAAACATGGAATTCAAAGGCAAAATATTTACCACAGATACTTTTGTGGGTAAGGTGATAGATTAGTGAAATTATACGTATACATTTAAGCTGATCTAAGATAAAAAAAAACTTCTGAAGAAACAATATTTTATTGGCAAGCCTAGACGAAAAGCGCCTATAATTTTTTTTAGGCTTGTAGATCTATTTTAAAAAAAATTACAAACGATAATGCATATTTAAAACCGAGGGAATGATTTTTGAGTTTAGATAACTGTACAACTGAATTACACCAAAGCGGGTCAAATATAACATTGCATTTGTACATAGAACCAATACTTTAGAATAAACTTATGAACAAGCTTTGTGAAATAAATTCTTCTGTATGAGAAATGTTGGTTCACTCAGAGCGAGTTGATACAACACAGCGCTAACAAATGCGATAAAGCACACTGGTACAGAAATGTCTGTTTTTTTTACTTTTCTTTTTCTTCGAACACGGTGATAATTATAATCGTTTTCAATGTGATTTATCAGCCTTTGTTAACTGCAGATATCCGCAATAGGAAAAAGGTGATTGTCTTTTTCGTCATCTTTCAAAGGTTCGATAGGACGGCGACAAAGGATATCTTTGTCTTTGTGATATGACCTGGTTAAGGAAGAAAAAAAAGAAAAGTGTTTACTTGTTTAGTCACTCGCTCCGATGCTGTACCACTAACCTGCAGAGATCCCAATGTTAAGCTAACGCGTAGTTTGACTGGTTGTGTAAAACGATTGTACATAAAGCGCCCCTCTAAAGGCTCAATATTGGAAAACTTTAAAACGCGTGATATCATGTGTTGATTGCTTTAACTGCATGTAGGGCGTTCTTAGTTTGGCTTAAAAAAATCAATAAAATAGATAAAACTGGAAAGAGAAAATTTGCCCACGTGCTTCGAATCGCTAATTAGAGAGCTCGAAACAGCGAAATTGTTAATAACTATTGAATACGCCATAAACAGCTTCCTTGTTTCAGAAAAGTTCGTAAAAGTTCCGAGAAGGAAAGAAACAAAGAAAGAAAACAAAATAGCTGTGTAACATTCCTTTATAGGCAAATTTGTGTTATCAGCGGTAGTTTTAGCTGCGTTTAGAAGCTTCTCAAATTTGAATTTTCAATTAATTTATTATAGAAGTTATACATCTATCACTATTCAAGTCAAGTACCTGAAATCGTGGCCCTTAAGTGTCTTAAACCTTTCGTGCTCCTGATCTGGTATTGGGATCTTATTCTTCTCCATGAGCCAGCCCTCGTCCTCAAAAGGTCCCGGATAAAATCCCCAGTTTCTTTGTTCCTTGAGGTCCCTTGTAATGGGAACTAATTTCCCGGTTTTCCTCGCAGGAGTATCCACACTAGGATTCACCACCACAGCTAGTGGTGGAATCTCCGCCAAAGTGAGTCCTTCTCTTGAAAGCGAAAATTTTTGAGGGTAATTTTTCAAAAGTCCTTCCAGCTTTGCCAGTTGGTTCGAAGCTTTAGCGCCTCTGTCTTTGAGTTCAGTCTCTGGTAGACAACGATGCGTACGAAATATCGTATCGTCCACAACGATTCTACCTCGCCATTGGCGCGTGGTCTCCATGTCAGCTTCGTCTTGTTCTTGTTCTTTGGTGTCGCCGGCGGCGTGAACTGACAAACATGGATTTGTGTCAAAGAACGGAGGAGGAAGGGAAAGCAAATTCAGATCAGCATCTCTATAATCCCAGGGGAAGTTCTCCCTGATTAAGAAAGAACATAAAAGTCAATGTTAGATAAAAACGTGAAAAAACATTTGAAAACTGGTTGTAATATTTAAGGCCCTGTTAAGACTAGGTGCTTGTGCTCAGTTCTTGGAAACAGGCACTAGTCCTAATGTAATCTTTGGTTGGTGCCTGAGAAAAAATCTGAGCACCTTGCCCAGGCACGGGCACTACCCCCAGGGGTAAAACTCAGGCACTGTTCCCGGGCTTGGGAGCTTGTCTAAACACGTTTTCGTCTGTTCTTGCGTTATTCCCATAATGCAGGTACTAAAAATGGTGAATACAAATCACACACTACAAATGCAATGCTGTGCACCAAGCCTTCTGGACGATTGCGAAGATAGTACTCGTTCCAGGGAACCGGGGGTCTGAAAAACTTCCATTTTGGTGCCTGGGGACGTTACCGCGGAACGGGCACCTGGTCTGAACGGGGCCTGAGTCAGTGGCTTAGTCCTAACTGACAAGTGTGACAATTCAAATGAAAGCTACCGGGCAGCTCTTTCATATGGTACCGCTTATCATGTTGTACAAGGTGGTTCTTACATTTTAGCTTTTACTTTTTGATGCACAACCATTCAAATAAAAGCTACATTCAAATGAAAGGGGGTAAGTTTCTAAAGAAAATGTGGTGCTTGCGTCGATGAAAGAGTATAAAAGGTTTATTTAGTATTATCAACTGAGTTGATAACGTAAATAGGTCACCGTAAAGAGTTTTAAAGCTGACGTTTCGAGCGTTAGCGCTGACGAAGGGCTAATGCTTGAAACGTCCGCGGTGAAACTCTTTACATTGGCCAATTTACGTCATCAACTCAGCTGATAATACTAAATTGAAAAGTTCTTTACTTTGGTATTGTTTGCTACGCTGAACAAGGAGGCTCTAAAAGTTTCACTCTGTGCATGAAAACCCTAACGTGTAGCCATTCCCATAAACACAGTACTGAGCATTTCGTCTATGTGGTGCTATCGCCTATGATATACAATGTGGTTCTAACTGTAGACTGTATCTTTAGCGTTTGATCATCGACTAGAAAGCTACGAAACAATGCAAGTCGTTGGACAATCTTACCTATCTACTGTTGGTTTAAGAATGTTGGCGTGTAAAATGTTCTCCTTCCATGGCTAGAATGATAATTAAAAAGAAACATTATGTCTCCCATTAAGGGAAGATAAAAGATGAGAAAAATTTCTGCTTCCATCACGAAAAGCTCCCCTCAAAGAGGCAGTCAATGACAAAGATGAATTTGTCACTAACACCTTTACATAATCATGTCAGTTTGTGTATTCTCCATACTGTTCTCCAACATTTCTTATCATACTGACATGGAGAATTTGTTTCTCAATCTAAATCCAGGGCTTCTATTTTTGGCGATCAATTCCTTTATTCTTGTGACCGTATGATATCGTAAGGCTACGTTAGATGCTGCCAACTCTAAGGGATTAAGGGTGAAGTTACCATGAAAACACCCCACAGGTTGATCAGCCCGTGGAATTTTAATAGAACTAATGCAAAAAAAAAAAAAAGACAACAGCTTCTGAGCAAATATCAGAAAAACAAGCAAGGTTCGTCACTATGTTTTTCCATACCTTGCGAAGTTCGTCTACTCGGGCCGAGTCGGGTTTCCTAGGGTGAATATTTGAAACCAACGAGGTTTTCTTTCCTGGGAAAATGAATCCGTTTTCTGTTCTCCACAGTTTCTTAGAGGAGAGAAAATCTTGCTTCTTGACAGTTTCTGGATGAATAGGAAGAACTGTGGCCGAGTTGTACATAGGACAGTAAGTGAAACGGCGATCTCTGTCCTATGAGAAAAGGAAAACAAATAGATAAGTCAACAAATACTCAAATTTCCAAGCCTATTGAATTCTAAAATGACAACTCATTGAACGTAGTAAAAACATGTTTGACACAGGAAAACACTCGTTTAAGTTGCACTGGAAACGCGTTTAGGACACGGAGGAAACACGTTTGGGACACGGCGAAAACGCGCTTAAAACTTATTGAAAACGCCTTGAAACGTGATTAGTTGGTAGGGTTTTATTTGGCTTGGGTTATGCAAGAGTTCATATCTTCTTTCCGATCGTTCTCACTCACGCGCACACCCAGGATCTATTGTTAAAAATTTGCACACTACTTTTATTATTTATTATTTATTCTTTGCACATGTTTCAACATGCTAGTTCAAATTACACGAAATAAATCGAGAATTGGTTTCATGTGTAAAGTGCAAACTCTGAAATGTGTATTGAGAACTGAGAGGTGTCAAATGTGAAGTCTGAGATGTGAGGCGAAGAGGGAATTGTGAAATATGTAGAGTGAGGTGAAGATTGGCAAAAAGTTATGTTGCAGAATGAACGCTTTAAAAATATCGTCAAAGAAAAATTTCATTTCAAAAATCGCTTGCTGAGAGAAAAAAGAATTAAAAGGCTACTTAAACCAAATAAAATACCTTTTCAAGTACGTTTCTTAGCTTCTCTTTAGCCAGTTCTGTGGAATTCAAGGTCTGTATACTGTAGTTGTGTGCGGTTTGCTGATGCAGCTCAGTCATATCCACAGCGATGGTCTGCGATCTTCTCTTTGGCTCTTTTGCCTGCGTTTTTAGCTGAAATAAACGAATTGAATGATAGATAAAGCAATTTTCAATGGAGGGTCGAAAGTAATCTGAGATTGCATTTGTTTTAGCTTTACTTCGCACTAAAAATTGATCCAAAAACTTGCACAATCTTCTAAACTAATCAAATGCAAAACTAAAACCAATCACGAACTTCGACGCCCGTGTTTTCCCGCGCTTTGGGCAGTTCAACTGATTGGTCGTTGTGATTACTTTGGCTTGGTTTTAAGCACTCAATCGAAAAGCGCTCTAAAGTCACGGATTACTTGCAAAAGTCAAAATGACTGCATTTGAGAAATATCTTAAAGGCCAAAAGTTTTCATTTCAGAAAAACTTTTACAGTGATATACGCTGACTTACTATGTTCTCCAGGATGAAGTCGTGTTTAACCAGAGCTCTTTCTCTTTCTTTAACCAACGCGACGTAATCTGAATTATAAAGTGACAGGGGCGTCCATGGTCGAGTAGTCCTAGGTCTAGGCTCCTCCAGAAATTTACCTGAACCAGCCTCCTCAATTTGAGAGCCACTGCTAGATTCAAGTTCTGAAAGTAGAAGTTAGAGAGAAATTGTTTACGCTGCAGAAATCAAACTGATCTCTTTCGTTCTTGAAATCAGAGACAGCTTTAAAAAGTAGAGAAGCGACCTCATAAGGGCTCTGTGATACCTTTAATAAAGATTGGAGAAAGTGTCCCATTAGAAAAAGTGTGACTTGGCATCAGTGAAACGGAGCGTGACATCACTAATCCAAGTCACAAGAGACAAGAGAACGTCCAGCAATTTTCAAGCAACTTCAGGTGTAGTTGGAAACAGGAAGGATTTCCATGTGAAGAAAAGAGATTTTCACATCCTTGTAGCCGCAAGAATACACAGAAATGCAGTCGTGTAATCCAAGAAGAAATAGGCATAGAGATAGAAGAGAGAAG